AATCAATCAATGGTATAAATACTGGCGACTCTGGGGCCACGGGCTGAGATCGGTTTGAAAAGCGCATCCCAATGCCCCAATATTAATATTATGGTTCAGGTACCAGGTCCACAGGAAGTTGGCGGCCTAAAACGAGGCTGACGCAATCCCAGGACTTGGGATTCACAAGAGCTGATGATCCAGCTCTCTCTATTAGGGACGGAACATATGTACCTAGGGCCTTCGTCAGAAGTATCACACGCACAGAGTTCATAAGGCACCTAGTTTCATTATGGAATATACTGTTTGTGAACGAATACTCTTCTCAGAGGGCTTCCGATGAGGGTGTCACCACTAGCAGTGGTTAGCGCTTATCTTCGTTGCATACCCAGGCGCTGATATAAGCCCAGGGAAGATTACTCGGTGCCACATACCTTGAAAAATTACCCCAGAATACCTCGGTGTCACGAGGTCGAGAGCGGTTCAGAAATGTCTTCTCGGAATGCTCGTCCATACAGCATGTCACTGCGAAGTCCCAGATCTGGTCAAAATCTAGGACCAGTCACGCCGGGCATAATCCATCGATCTTCAGCCGTTCCACACGGGTATCTTTACAAGGTAGATTCGTAAGTCTTGAAGGCTGACCGCATATGAATAAATACGAGAGCGATTGCTGACATTGGTAGATGGCTCCAGTTACAGGAACATGCAGGCGGACGAATTCCGTGACCTCCCTGGTTTGCTTATAACGACTTCACGAACCAGATGGTACCGGAATCCCTGCCTTTCTCACCACTGGCCCCGTTGTCAATCACATAGGGGAAACGAGCAAATCCTACGCGAGGATAAAATCTTCCTGCGTCGTCGTTCGCTGCTGCCATGAGCAGATGAACACCTCTTGCACCTTGCTCCTTAGCCACACCGCAGAACTGCTCAATCAAGCGCCGGCCCCAGCCTTGCTTTTGATATGGGGTTAATATATCGATGTGTATATGCGCTGGCCATTGCTCCATCAGTTGAGGATATTCTGTATGCAGCATCGAGTGTGGACTGAACATGATTTGTCTGAGTGCGTTGGGTAGATTCTCATTCCAGCCGGTCTGGTCGTCAGGCCCGGGCTTTTCAAACCCCTGTGACTGCAGATACGGAGTATATATGTCCTTATACTTTTGCACAAACGAGACGGTATCCGGAACGCCGAGCAGGTACCCTACTGCATGACCGTTACCATCATCAAGAACGAAGCAGCTATCCGGTGCCAGCATCAGATAGGGACGACACCACAGGAACGAGGCATAATGCAAGGCCGGGTCGCCTGCACTGCGCAGATCTGGCGCGGCGGTCTCACGAAACTGCATCCCGTGTTAGAAGTGGTCATTCCCTTGGGTCTGATTGACGAACAATATGGATCATTGCATCTTTGTCTGACTCCTGGTACGTACGGATGAAGGCCATTGCGAGCTTCTGCGCAGGCGAAGGTGACAAAGCGTGGAAGCGGTCCTAGAGACAATATTCGAGTAGATCGGCGGGCATCACGAGCGCGAGACGCACAAGACTACTCTAGGCGCCCATATAAACACAGAGACTGAGTCACAGTCCACAGTGACCTGCCATCTTGACCTTGGACTGAGGCTGTCAGGTTGCAATGAGATCAGCGAGCATCGCGTTATGGCGCGGATTTTCGGATAAAGTCTGGGCAGTCGGGCGAGCCGACAAAGAGCCGAAGTTTATCCTCCGAAGCGGCAGGTAAACCGATGACTTGTCTACCCTTTGCTTGTCGACCACGGAGCAGTCGCTCTCTCTTCTTCGTTCGCCAATGTAACATGTCCAGTTTCCTTTAGGCATGCGCACTGCTTTCATGGTAACGAATCTGGCCTCGTTCGGGAGTCACTCTTTATGTGTCCAATATACCATAGCTCTCTTCTACTCGGACCGGATACCCTTGTGATGATATTGACACACGACTGAAACGAGAGAACAGCGGCTTTTCCGGTGTCACTCGCACGCGCAACCCCATAACCTGAAGGATTGATGTAAGTATCTGCTTCCAGCCTGAACATGTCACTGAACTTCATGCTGTCCAAACAGCGGCTCTTACAGCAGGCGGGTGATGGGCAACCCTTGACTTTCTGCAACATCAAACTCTTTGTTGCGGCTCCGATTTTCGGGGGCAGGGTACTGGCGGACCAGCACTACAGGGAGGTTGAATCCCTCAAACTATTGCTCCATTGGTTGTGACCTTAAACCATTGCAATATTACTGCAACTGGTCTCAAGAACTCAGACTACAGCCCGAGAAATAACCGATCGCCAGAATGCAGGGTTATCACGGGGTCCACGTCTTCATTGCCGGGGCTCAGAGTGTTACTTCTAATTGGCGTAGCCAGTTGGGCGTCACCGCCGTCTAGGAAGTTGTGTTAGCATGAAAAACTATAGCACTGCGTTCACTCCTCCCATCTCCGCAAGACGGGCATGTCTTTTCCCAACACGGGCTCTCGAACCTCACGACTACATCTATATTGGTAGACAACGGGCCCTTCTCTAATCTGTTGGATTTCGACACATGACTGTTCAGAGAAGCAATCGGACCACGACATTAGCACGGGGAGAACTCCTTCTCTACACGAGGGGATTCTTCCTGCCATCCCCGTTTACCCGTTTTGATGTTCGGACAACCCTCCAAGCCTCTCCTGGCTACTTTTTCAGGTCTGATTCCTTCGTCGCTGTCATGACCGATCACGTGAACGACATCCTGGATGCTTGTATTACCGATATTCGAACGGGCCTGACAAGGATTTCGAAATGCGCACCGGTGTAGACGTACCAATCAGACCAAGGCCTTTCCTTTTTCATTTGTACGGTGTGCAAGGACACAGAGAGCAGCTCGGCGGCTTATTCGTCTCGATAATGAGCCGGGCTTGATCCGAGCATACATTACCTAGGATGGCCAAGACGGCTAAAGGTCCATTGAGGATGTCGATTTCCCTTCTTCCTGATGTGGATCAATGATCAGCCGGTATTCCCCATTAGATCGCCCTTGTTTCCTTGGCTACAGAAGGAATTGAGTGCGTCTTGATCGTAGGTAGTCCACATCATCGGTCTTCAGGTAGCGATATCTATGTACAGTACACCAAGATCATTTTCACATGGGGGTCGCTCTGATAGATTCTCAACTACACCACCAACCCGACCCAACTTCTCTGTCCTCACCGCCTCCATTAGATACATACTCGCACACAGCTCCACTAAAAATATCAGATACGACCGCCACCGACTGTCAACCACGGTGGAAAAGACTTCCCCAACAATGACGACAACAGCAACAACAGCCTCATCAACGCTGTCAATATCAACCAATGGTCCCAGCCACGTCCCTCGTCGCTCGGGCTTCGGCACCGAGAGGTGGATGGAAGATCCACCGGCTGGCCGGACTTGATATGGTACTGTACTCCGTACGAGTAACAAGATTTCTTAACCGTATCCACCATTGTGCGAAACCTTATCGGCGGGTTCAGCGGGTGGCTGCATACACCTTCTCCCTAGCATTTGGTCTTTGTCATGAAGAGGGGGAAAAAACGAACGGCCTTTTTGCTCTTTTTACTTTTTTTTTTCTGAGTCATCGGCCCACGGCACCTAATCTCCACCGCCACCAGTTCCCAGAGTCCAATGCTTGGACTCACAACTTCGGGACTAGCCAGTAGTAAGTTCCAGAACTTTCAGGCTTCGTGGGCCCTTTTGGGCGCGAGAGGGGGAGTCTGAGTGGGACAATCGCCTCTTCCGGAATACTCGCCTCGTGCACCAACATACCACGCCGCCCTCCTACGGCGTTCAAGGCTGGGATTTCTTGTTCCCGTCTTTGCGCGAATGATTCTATGGGGAAATACGCTGCTACCTTGACAGACAGATGTCACGAGAGAGACAGAGAGAGAGACAGAGCGTAGGTCAACAGAAAGCGCGTTGGTAGAGAAATATATCGATAGGTAGAAGAGAACGCCCTACAACGTGTAGAAATCCATTCCCAGAGGCCTGTGCATCGCGGGATGAACCACGGGAGAGACTTGGGTCTGTACTCGGTGCATGACGGTACGCTGTACTCTGTGGCGTACTGCATGCACTCTAGGTAATACGGAGTCTATAGATCTTCCCCGGCCCGTGCAGCCATACATACGGCGAGTGAGCTGAGTTGGATCGAAAAGACAGTTTGATTTGCGCACCGGGGAGAGATGAAGACGAGGAGGACGAGGAACAAGCAGGGGAAATCGTTTTCAGGTTTTTTGTTGGGGGGGGGGAGGGGGAATGGAAGAATGTTATTGTCCATTTGTTCCTGGATACTATCCAGTTTGTTCAATTAGGGACCTAATATGGCCCTGCCTGTTAAATTACGGGGATATTGCTCTCCCATTTCCTCCTCCTTTCCTTTCCTTGCATTCTTCATCCTTCCTCCTCCATCATCGTGCACATTTGTGTGTGCGCGAGAAAATCTCCAGAATATCAATCACCAAGAGACGGAGTAGAGCAGGTCTTTTTGCATGTGTCGGTCGAGTGAAGGAGCGAGGACAACAGGTGTAGAGTGCTAAAGCCTCATCCAATGGCCTGTGTCTGATCGCTCCTTCCCTCGATGGCTCACTCGCAAAAGTCCCGGCTCTATGTTTCTCGTCACCGGGTTCTGCTCCTAGGGTTCCCGGGTCTCCGCCCGTCCGGTCATCTATCTTCCTGCCATAGATATGGGGGTTCTTCGAGCGTAATTTGTCCGCTTCAATGTTTTGTTTTGATGGGGACATCTCAGAAGACCCATCTTCCATTCTGCAAGCCCGTATGGAGAGCTTGGGATCTGCGCGATCACAAAAGGTGGGGTGCGTGGCATCCGCCAGCCAGTGCGTCGCTTGCTGCGCGTTTTGTGGGGGGTATCATTGAAACCAGTAGGAGAGTCGTCAACATCAAAGGGTCGTATATCGTGATAGGTCTCCAATGAGGTGGGACACAGGTGTAGAGTGCTGAGCCTCATCCAATAGCCTGCGTTGTTCATCTCACGGGCCTTCGCGATTCCGTCCTCGTCAACGCCAACCCGCCCAGGTCTTCCTCCCCATCCTCCGGATCCAGCGGAAACCCGTAGTCGTCAACCAGTTCCATCTCCGCGTCCGTCGACCTCTGCGCGTCGTCCGACGACGACGACCGTTTTCTCTCTTGCGGCATCAGGTACTTCTCGTCTGTGGGTGATGTTTGGCGTTCTCGCTCTGTTCGCGCGATGTCCTGGAGAAGTAATTCTAGTAGGTGGTCATGGCTGAGTTTCAGTCGCAGATCCTCTCGGACCTGCTTGTCCGACGACTTTCTGCGTGCAGTGTCGGCCAGGTGATATGTTTCTTCGCGAGACAGACGCCGTGTTGGTGTGAGGTCACGTGAAGGCGGTCGGCTAAGTGGTTCCATCATTGACAGAGGCATCTTGTGCTTTGTAAGCGGGTTTAGGTGTTTTTTTTTGGATTGTTGTTGCTTTGGTGTAGAAGAGAGACACCCGGTATATGAGTGTGCCTATGTAAGTTGAAAAGTTTTGCTGTGGATACCGAGTCAAGAAAAAATCGGGCTGAGAAGGCGGTGGGTTCTGATTTTGTTGTATCCAAATAATAGTGTCGATGGGGCGTTGGAGCCTCGCTGTGACATGTGAAGGCTGAAACTCGGATGAATTTTTAATCTTGTCGTCACGGGGTCTTTAACCTTGATGCTCGTGTTGGGGCCTTTGGTTGATGGCAAAACGTTTTCCGACCACCCGTAAGTGTGTTTCCTTTCCTTTGAGAATGAGTTGTTCTCTGGGGAAGAAGTTTTCGACTAGACCACGATGTTGCAGCTGTATATTATATCACTTACTTATGCAGGCTACGGGATATAGTTTCACGGATGCCTGAGTCACACAGCCCATTCTATGGCATTATCGCCGTGGGAACCATATTTCTCCACCGGGCTGTAGCGGTGCGTATTCGTAAGGTGCGTTCAGTAAACCCGGGGCCCGAGACGGACGCAAAGGCAGCGCTGCGTAGATACGCGGACGGGCGTACGAGAAGAGCGAGTCCAGGGCGCAGGGCTTGTCAGCGACCATTGCACACCTAGCAGAGAAATAATCAATCAATCAAATCAGAAAAGCCTTTTGACTCACGCCTAGCGAACCCAAGAGTGGCAGGGCTGAGGGATTGGCTGCTGCCTTCTCACGCGATGCCAGGTGGCCAGGACGAGGCGTTTGAATTGGTCCGTCGGATGCAAAATGCCGTTTGGGCAAGTCCTGGGTGCCGCAACCTTCACCGCATGGAGGAGGAATGGCCAGAGAGGCCGCGGGCTTGGAGCCGATCCCGGAGATTGTCAACTGTTTCGTCTTCGGCCGAGGAGGTGGAGGTAAAGGCACGGCTTAGTACTCGGTACCATGGGCTTATGGGGCCTTGTATTGGCTTATTGCCGTCCCTCGCGCTTGATGACTGATCCCCGTGATGCACCCTGGATCCCTTTAAAATGAACACTGCGCCCTGCGCCCTCTCCGAAGACGTGTTGGACCCTCTGGGCAAGTCGAAGACATTCGGGCGTCTCCTGTGCTGGGTACCACCAACCCGCTGTTGTGGCCTGTCATTTCTGAACGGGTTACTGTGTGAACTTCTTATTCACTCCTTTGTTTTGTGTAGGTATGATCATCCGTGAACCGGATGCTATACGGTCAGCTGCTTCACATTTCGTTTTCGCGGAGATGGTTGGGTGCCCAGAAGGAACACAGTTGCGGACCTAAACCATCTCCTCGGCCCCGTCCCAATTATTACTGCCTTGGCTCGCTATAATAATTATATGTCCCGGGTCTCCTTGTGCCCCGGCTCTGGACACTTCCGAGTAAGCAGGACAAAACACGAGGGCCGAGAAACAGGATTTGATATTGTTGCTTACTACAAACTCGGGGAGTAGGTCAGATGACCGGATACCATGTATCTGATTCTTCCCTGTACGAGGTACGGTGCATGCAAACACTGTTTGCCACACAAGGAAAAGTGTTACCTGGGGCAACTGGGGCATTCTTCCCAATGCTCCGAGCCCCGGCTCGTCAGTGCAGCCACTCTTCGCCCATCTCAGAACGCATAACGTTGGGCGAAGGACAAAAAGTCTAACACTGCAGCATCGAGAATAATGTGTTGCGCGAATGACTTGCGGCTGGACTGCGCCTCGGATGTACAGAGAACTATTTTGCCTGACATTGTTGTCTTGGTATTTCTGGCTGTCTAGTTGATTGCGTGAGCACGTCACGTGCCGTTACCGTAAGTGGAAGGACTTGCCCCTTTTAGCTATCGTGGTGTTGCAGGGCGTCATCAGCGTGGCATCGTCTGCGCTTCGTCACAGAGAATTTTTCAAATGGTTCTTGTCTGTGTGTATCGGCTCTAGACGCGTGAATGGTTACTTCTGCGCTGCGAACAGAGTGACTTCGTTCGAATCTGACGATCAAATGTCAGTTGCAAGACAAAAGGGCAGCGAATTGCACCAAAGGCCCATGGGTGCCCTTGGTCAGTGTACCACTATGATTTCGCTGCTTGATATCCTCGACATCGACAAACTTGTTCCAAGGGCCTCCATCGCGGTAAGCGGCGCACCAAGGAGGCTAAACCTGTCGGGAAAAGGTCGAATACAGGCTCAAGCCGAAGAATCTTCTCTAGCTTGCAACCACCTGGGTAATTCATTTTGAATCTCCCAAGAGTGCACTCGCCACGACCAAATTGTAGCCAGAACACTGGGATCTTCGGCAACGTGCCTTTCCTTTCGAGCCATATCTGTGAGGCTTGGCCTATGCGCTGTTGGGAGGTACGCATATCGTCCGTCGCGTCCACATAATTCACTGGATTTCATGACTTGACTTCGTCACTCCTGGGGGCTTTGCTGTCGCCTTCTGAACTTCCCTCGTCGTCAATCGGCCTTCCTTGACTGATAATGCTCGCACGCCGTTGTTTTGCAGCCTCCTCCCCCTGCAGAGACTTTTCTTGCTCCCTTCCCTTCTGCTCTTCTTCAAATCCACAAAGAACAACAACAAGAAACTCAGCACGGTGAGCCGAAATAGGAAATAACAGGGTAGACTATTGTTTCCCTTCGGGTCGGCATCGATGATAGCGCTGCTCACAATTGGTCCGATGAATGCGCTCGCCTTCCCCATGATCGAGTAAACGCTGAAGAACAAAAACTCGGTAAACCTGTGTTAGCTGTGGCAATCGGGGTTGTCTGACAATAAGAGCATTGTGCAATTGTGAAACAATCTCGCATGGACTTGAGGGCACTTTACCTTTGCCGCGGGGGGTAACCTCGCTGATCATCGTTTGAGAGTATGTATACCACTGGCACACGAACAAGCCGTGGAAGGCTTGATATACCCAGAACTCCTACTCGTGGTCAAAGCCGAATGACTGCGACCAAATACCTATAACACCCCAGCCATCAAGAATGAGTACACCTAGCATCACTGCATTGAACATTGATTTGGTGCTGAATCCGGAGCGTTTTTGAATGAGCCAGTAAGCAAGAATGCCGGCACCTTGAGCCACAATCCCCACAATCAGCAGGTAAGTTAATGTCAGCGTACTGTACGAGATGACCGAATTTTGCAGAGTAGCAATTACAGTGACCGTCGTGTTCAATGAATCGCCTAGGAGGAAATATCCTGCAATTTGCATTAGTCCGTCCGATTTCACCAGCGGAAGAACAGAGGGACACTGACCGATAAGACACAGCAGGCTCTGCTTCAGCTCCCAGATTCGGACCAAGGCACGCCAAATATTCCAAAAGCCAACGCTGATGATGTTTGTTCCAGGCGGGAGTTTTTGGCCAAGTCGCCTCTTCTCCAGGATGAACCAGGGGATGGCAAGCACGATCCAGACCCCCGTTGCATATGCAATGAGAACGGAAAGGCCCCACAGATTGTTTGCAGCACTGGCATTGACATCCAAAGCGAATAGTATTGCGACTACCGGGACCGACGAGTTAGCCTTATTCGTCCATGTTGATCACAAAGCAGTACCGGCCGTGGAACCTTTGCCATTAAAACATGGGCCATAGATCCGATATCCAAATCCCAGAAGCAAGAACACTTAGCCAGCACAGCAAGGATGACGATTTCCCCGGCACTTTGCATAATAAATGCGACATTGTGAGTGCGATTGCGCTCCATCATGTCCGCAAAGTCATACTCATCTCTGCTGATCTCTCTGTTCTCATATTGTACCGCCTTCTCTCTCATTTCGGGCTCATTTCTTGCTCGCTCGGGAAAAGCTGGACAATCTGTTGTTAGGGCGGTCTAAAAGAGCGAAACTGGGGGCTGGAGCTTACCGGCTGTCCAAAAAGGTGATGCACATTTGATATGCAATCAAGAGTTGGCTTCACTACCACACAAGTCATGTGACTGTCACTGCCTCTAGCGTGTCACTGCCCCTGGTGCATCATATATCTACCGCCTATTGCTTTGTTCATAGTTCTATAGTCGTATGCTACATAAGTTTGCTACCAGGATCAACTTCAAGCCGACCATATACAATCCAGGAGCAGCTGGCCATTTGTCTTGCATGTGGATGCTCAGCCAGCCAAAACCTAGCGCAAAAGCAACAACCGACCAGAAGATGAGTATCTGGTTTACCAAGCAGATTATTGCAAGACAGAGAGGGCACCATGGGTGTTCTTGTCTGTTCAAACCAGCTGATGAGAATGTTATTTGGAACGGAAAATAGTTGCTCCTGTACGAGATATCCTCACACCGCCGTGCTGCCCATGGCATGTGCACGTGACAGGCGCTGGGGAAGCCGCACAGTGGTCATGCCCAACTTGCATCATCGGTCACCTTTCACAACAAGTGACCCTCGAATTCAGTCAAGCTCTAACGAACTAGAAGCAGAGCTCGGCTACAGCGGTGCCCTGTCGATCCTGGTGACAGGGTCAAGAGCACCCAATTTCTGGAACGTGGCTCGAGCCGTGTCTGGGATCGACGATGGCTGTCGGGGGTCTGTGTACCTTTTCCGCAGGGTACCAGCAGCGTCGTAAGGTGGACGAGACTCTGTTTTGGGAAGTCCTGATCTTTTCATCTTTCTATCCAGGTCCAGTTCAGGTATCGATCATCACCGAACTACTCGTATTCTTTGCATCTGCTCCCAATAACGCAATCCAACATGATCACCGCGACGGGAACGGCGACTGACGCGGGGGCCGACACTTCTCAGAAGGGCCCTTGGGGCTGATACATGAAAATCATGATGCGGGCCCCAAATCGACGATTGGACAGTTGGAAGGTTCCAGACCATTTTGCACTTTGACCGATTGCGTCGCAAGGTCCAGATCACAGCAGACCTCCCAGGACGCCCAGGGCCACTTTTCGGCTCGCCAGCGGCCACATCAGGTGCTGACGCTTGGCACGGGTTTGAGCTTCATCTGCGATTTCACATGGTGGCGTCCGATCTGTGTGCCCTTTCCACCCTTCCTCCAAGGCTCTGGAGATCGAGCCAAACAAATACTTCGCTCCTACCATTACCACACACCACTTGCCCACCTGGCGCTGCGGGAAGCAACAATGGCGAACGCTACTCCTTCACCTGTCGTGGTCATGATTTCCTGTTTCTCACCTGTTCCTGATCCTCATCGACGCTGTGTAAAACCAGCCAACTCCCTCTCGCCGCGTTTCAATTTCAATCTCATCCGCCGAAGCCTTGTCGGCATCGAGCCAATCCTCCACCATCCGAGAAAGCGCTTCAAAATTCCCCCTTTATAGGACCACCACCGATTGACCCACCGAACCACTCCCACGCCGCAGCGACAATAAGATACGACCTTTCATTGTCTGATTGACTCGACACCTTTCCACCACGGCGCGAGAGCGATGTCGCAACATGCCGGACTCGCACAAATCATTGGGACAGTCACCTAAGAGGGCCCTCTCTTCAACGACCAGTAGCAATCCCCGCCGTTCTCATCCGTCACAATCCAAGTCGCTCCCAAAGAATAAGAAGGTCAAGATTGATCACAACCTCCAGGGGTCGGGGGAGAAAGTGTCTCTGGATCAGGCAGAGGTGACTCCGAGTCTTCCGCAGGGAGAAAGTCGTGACTCGAGCAGCGACCAGAGCGCAGCCAAGTGGTTTGCAAGCAAGAACGAGAATGTGGTCGACTCCCTGGGCAAGAGAGGTTCGCAAGAGAGTAGGAAGACCCTCTGCTGCCGCACGCCCCGCAGCCTGCCGCCTTTGCTAATGTGCGACAGTTGAATCACCTTTCTACCTTACCAATCAGGGCACTTATCGCCCGGCTAAGAATCTCCGCTCGCACAATACAGAGAGCTTCGGCCCGCGGCCGCGAGATGATACCGAGAACGATGAATTACGGGGGGTCATTGACGATCTCACCGTCGAGAACAAGAAATTGAAGCATCTACTTCGGAATTGGCAGGCTCGGTCAAGTCCCACCACCATTAACCCCGACAGAGTGGTGGAAGTTCGGTTGCATGGACTACCCGCCGAGAAGAAGAGAGAGCTGGAAGATATACTGAAGAAGTTTGCCACCGGGCTCACTGGAGATTCTTCATCGCAACCAAGTTCATCAGGCCCGCTGGAAAAGTCGGCCTCCAGTGCGGGATACGCTGCGTTTCCGGCGCAGAGGGTTCCCCTGGATCCTAACAATACAGACTCTGGTTATGCCTCCATCTCGAACTCTGGGTTAAACTCCACATCGCAGTCTAGTGGTCTAAGACTACGCGAACCCGTGTCAAAGAGCAAAAAGGAAACAGACATCGAGAATTATTTGCACGACATTCCCGACTCGCTCTTCCCAAGGGAGACGGTCTCTGTCAGTGACAACGCCAAGATGGCGTTGGTGGTGCAGAGGTTGGAGCAGCTCTTCACGGGAAAGAGGGCAGCACCGGGAGAGCACAGCTTGCCTATCCAGCAACAAAAGATCTCCCGTTCCGCTGCCAAGGCCGATCGGCGTGAGAATCAAAGGCTCAAGCGAGCCTTGAGAGTGGAAGGCTCCCGTGAAGCTCATATCTTGCCTCACGATTCCAAGATCAATTTCGACCTCATGGACGCCAGTGGTCAACCCCCAGGGAATCAATCCGGATCCGATCAATCCTCAGCCGAGGGAAGAGGCATCCCGGCCTCGGAAGGCGCCAGCTCCCCGGATCAGCGGCCCACTCGGCCATTGGATCTTGACATCCATCGTGCGCAAACCGCCGCCGATAACATTGACTATATTCGACATCTGGGCTTATCGTCACCACAATTCGAAGACAATGCTGAAGGCAAAGAGCAACCCTGGTTGTATCTGAATCTGCTTGTGAGTATGGCTCAGCTGCATACGCTCAATGTGACGCCGGCCTTTATTCGTAAGGCCGTCAAACAGCTCAGTACCAAGTTTGAGTTGTCGAAAGACGGACACAAGATACGGTGGATCGGGCGGGCCCCTCAAGCCGAATACGTCAACCAAGAGAGTCCAGAGAGCGCGCCACACCGCATCTCTGAGGATACCGGCGACGACGCCGGCCGTCAAAGTGGTAGGAGCGCTACCAGCACACTCAATGAAGTATCCAACTCCGCCTCAGTTTCAGATGACAGAGTCCAGAGAGGAAAGCTAGGTGGCACCTCAAACCTGGTCAATTCTACGACAACATCTTCAAACCATGTGCCTGGCCAGCAGTCAACAACCCAATCCAAGTCCACGTCTGCGTTTGAGTATAAACCTATTGTGTTTCAAGGGAAGAGGACCTTTCTGCAGGCCAAAAACTCATATCTGGATTCGTCGAGTTCGCATGGCGGTAAGTCGCCCAATTCTACCGGTCTGGTCCGTGCCCTCAGTCGATCGAGCCTTAAGCCCAGAGATGATACCTATGAAGGCTATATGACATTCTTCAACAACCCCTACTTCTTCACAGATCTGAGTGGTGATAAATCTCCCACAAACGCCAGAGCGAGCGGGTATAAAGGGGCTCGAGATGCTTTGGGTATCGTCAAGAAGCGGCCACTCGCAGACGACACCCTGCGAGACGCCAAAGCTTGTTATTTCCTGTCTCCCTGGCCACACGCACGCAGCAGCTGGCCCCCAAATTGTCCAGAGATGGACATCTCTCTCTCACCCATCAAGTCTGCAGGGGAAGATGAGACACTGCCGCTAGAGTTTGAAGCCTCTGGTCTCGGGGGTGTCCGACCTGAAGATAACTTTGCGCTCGACGTTCAAATCGCAAGAAAGCGCCAGAGGCTCGACAATGGTGATGGCAAGAGGACAATCCGGCAGAAGCGGCCTGCACAATACTCCTACCAGGTTGCAAATTGCACGAGGCTAAACCTGCAGCCTTCGCGGTTGCCACCGCCAAGCTATGTCTTCTTCACGGCGAGCTCATCGTCCAGCGCGGGGAAAGGGTACTATGACGAGGATGACAGCGATGAGTCCTCCGAAGCGGAATATTCTCCCGCGCCGGCTGGATTTCTATGGCAATGGTCATCGAGTTCAAATGAACGACAGGGCGAGGACGATGGCTCCGTAGCAAGTTCTTCCCTTGGCGTGCTGGAAGCAGCGCGAGCTAGAATTCCACTTCCTGGCGCCACAAATGAGTTGGGTAGGACTATGAGCGGCAGCCTCGCTGCCACTGCCGGAGCAAGTTGGAGTGCCGCTTCCAACGCTGCTGAGTGCGACATTGGCAATGACCACGACGGCGACTCTTCAGACGAGATGAGCGTGGACCACCAAATTTGAGGCTTCCTTCCAAGGTGGTGGATTGGGAAATTGCTTCACCTGGTTGTATAACGAAATTGCAATCGGACAATAGATCCGAATGAAGAGCATGGCGTTGGCGGACTGAGCTATATGAAAAACCCTGCGATTTACCCGTGATTTGGTGGTGTTCGTTGTTGGATACCTGACGTACCTGTATATACGGAGTGTAGCAAAGTGACAGCATGATGTCAAAGATACCCTTGATGAGATATGTGTGAAAAGACAGTTGGAATAGAGCTTTCAATTCCCACCATCCATTGATGACGGTCTTGCTGCTAAGCAACGTTTTCTCGACCTCTTTTCTCGCCTGGGCCTGTTGCATCGGATGGGATGTCTACGGGTTTTCTCGGGGCTTGGGTGGGAAAGGGCCCCAGGGGCTCCTGGCTATGACCTCAGCCGCGATGCCCGTGATGCTTACGCCCCGGATCCGAGTTGCTTAAGAACATCGGAAAAATCACCTGGTCCTTAAGGTCGTGAATCCCCTGCCACCCCCGGCGCCCCTTGCCGCCTGGCATTCCGCATGCTCTGCCAATGTGTCTGCAACACCAGCGGCCTTCTTCTCCGTCTCCATCGGATCCGTACCTCTCAATGCGTTGCCTCCATCCAGCGGCAATGATTCCGGGGTGCTTTACCGATCCCGTGCTGGCGATGATATCTCCGCTTTAAACAAGCCGAGCTGCTCAGCATGTTGATCTCCTCAACTCCTTTTCCTGCTCCTGCTGCTGTTGCGGGCGATTGTTATCCTTTCACTTGTTGTGTGATTTCCCAAGTTTCCCCCCCCCCCCAAGACTTCAGCGAATGCTTAACTGCATCTCTTGCTGAAAGTGAGTGAAAAACAAGCCCTCATTATGTCGTCCTTCCTCGAGTCCTCTCTCCGCATCCCCTCCAAAACATCTAGAAGTTGGCGAACAGCGAGGTACTTTACGCGCGATCAACGGAAGGTGAGTAAGACCACCACACGCCAGGGAAACCCCATCAATCATTTACGGAGCATTAGCATTGACGGCATGTCTTTTTTGGGCGTCAACAGCAAAACTTCCTCTTCGCCCGCTCGTTTTCGTCGACCCTCCGCCGCCATGAAATCAACAAAGTCGTCCCCTCCGCTGCTGAAGCGATCAAGGACATGAAGTCCAACTCCACCCTCTTGTGTGGTGGTTTTGGACTTTGCGGCGTCCCCGATACTCTGATCAACGAGGTCGCGAAAACGCCCTCCATTACTGGTCTTACGGCGGTTTCGAACAACGCCGGCATCCCCGGTGCCGGTCTCGGCCAGTTATTGGAGACCAAGCAAGTGAGGAAAATGATCGCCAGCTACGTCGGCGAGAACAGAGTGCTGGAGCAGATGTACTTGACTGGAGAGATGGAATTGGAACTGACACCCCAGGGGACATTGGCTGAACGCTGTGCGGCGGGCGGCAAAGGAATCCCTGCTTTCTACACACCAGCGGCATTTGGCACGGTCGTACAGACGGGTGAAATTCCACTGAGGCACAACAAGGATGGCAGTATTGCACAATTCGGAAAACCTAGGGATGTCAAAGTGTTCAACGGGAAGTCGTATGTCATGGAAGAGGCTATTGCAGGCGACTACGCGTTCGTGAAAGCGTACAAGGCTGACAAGCTTGGCAACTGCCAATTCCGCCTCGCGGCCAACAACTTCAACGGCGCCATGGGCCGTAATGCCAAAGTCACCATTGTGGAAGCCGAACACATTGTTGAGGTTGGCGAGATTGATCCTGTCGCTGTGCATTTGCCGGGCATCTACGTGAGCAAAGTGATCCAAGCAACGGCCGAGAAGAAGATCGAGAAATATGTCAACCGCAAAGAAGAGGACGCCGACGTCAAAGACAGTCTTGGGAAGGGTGAAGCCGCCTCGAAGCGCGAACTGATTGTGAGACGTGCCGCGAAGGAGTTCCAAAACGGCATGTACGCCAACTTGGGCATTGGTATGCCTATGTTGGCCCCATCGTTCGTGGATTCATCAGTTGAAGTACAGTTACAATCTGAGAACGGCATCCTTGGTCTCGGCCCCTATCCGCGCAAGGGTGAGGAAGATCCCGATCTCATCAACGCCGGGAAGGAAACCGTCACTCTGCTCCCAGGTGCCTCTTGCTTCGGATCAGAGGAATCATTTGGTATGATCCGTTCCGGTCGCATAAATATGTCTATGTTGGGTGCCATGCAGGTGTCTGCAAGAGGTGATCTGGCGAATTGGATGTTACCCGGCAAAGTTAAGGGTTTTGGTGGAGCGATGGACTTGGTGAGCAATCCAGAAAAGACCAAAGTGGTGGCATTGATGGAGCACACGGATAAGAAGGGGAATCCCAAGATTCTAAAGCAGTGTGAATTCCCACTCACAGGAAGGGCGTGTGTCTCAAGAATTATTACAGAATTGGTGAGTTCTCTCCTTATTCTAAAAACACAGCGGGAGAAGTCAAATTATACATTTGCTAACGTGGGTTGCTTTTCCCCTGCAGTGCGTTTTCGACGTGGACTTCACCCACGGTCTGACGCTTATTGAACTCGCGGACGGGGTCACCGTCGAGGAGGTCAAGGCTAAGACCGAGGCGCCTTTCAAGGTCGCGGATAATATTAAACCTATGCTCTAGACGCCCGTCTCGTTGCCCACGACGTGCGCGGAGAGACAGAAGAGACGTCATCAAAAATAGAAGAGGGCAATGCGGAGTGTTTCTACAGATGGCCACAATTTGATATGAGAGCTGTGTAGCGAATTTCTAACTCGGAACAGTGATGCGTTGTTTGGATTTTCAGCTTCAGGAAAGGGAGTCAAGCTGACTGCCGGTCAAACTGAATCCGGAGCTGGAGAAGGAACGCAACTCGCGCAATTGGGGAACTGATGGCTCCTCGGAAGGGATGTCGACAGCATACCTATCAAGGGGCTGATATCGCAAGGACGAAGGGCGGTGGCAGCTCCTGTGGCAGAATGACTGGTAGTTGGCGCAGCGCTGAGACATGAACAGGAACAGGACACCACCAGTCTCGACTTAGACGTTTGATTTTCCCTGCTCACAAAAAGGGGCGAGAGACAGGGAAATGCGAAAGTTTTGAAAATCGAGCATGCCGAATTTTTGGAAGGGACCAGGCGTTATATGTATTTATTTATCCAGACCTATGTTAGTTTTTCAACGAGTGCATTTCAAGCCTATTAGGTATCCAAGACTGCTGTGCTAGCACCTCAGTCATCAAACCAAGAGCTAGACTGTGCGTGCTTGTCCTTCCCTTCTTTCTTCCTTCTCCACGACTTCGTGGACCCTTTCGTCTCGGCCTCGGTCTTGCGCATCGTCCCGCGCGCTAACCAGAAGCCCTGATACTCATGTGCACGCGTGGAGCCGGGCAGGACCCGGACGACGGCTGGTCGAGCGACATACCTGTGCCGAATACCCGCCACAACTACGGGGTGGGCAGCTCCCTTGGTCGTGGCCGTGGCGGTGCCGCTGTAAACCGACGCCGTCGCCGTCGCCGGGCGGAGGCGCTCATACGCGTCTGAGGCTTGGCGATAGAAAGGCGAAGCAGCACCGGCACCAGCAGGAGACGAGTCCGTGGAATAGTGCGAAGACGACCACACGCGCGAGCAGGGGAGGGGGGAAAGGGGGGCGGAAGAGAAGGGATTTCCACCGGCTTCGTCCCTGTACGCGTCGCTGTGCGAGCGGTTTCTGATGAACTCGGCCAGTTGCTCTGTCGTGCGCACGTGCGGGGGTAGACCTTGCTGCTGCACGAAGCTGTCATGCAGCCTGCCCGTGCCGTTGTCGTAGCAGATGCTGGCTGAGGCGAGGCTGTCGTTTCGATTTAGCACTTTAGCGCCAGGAGGGGCCGGCGGAGGTCCATTAGGGCGGAAGTCGTAACTGGCAGCAGTTACTGGCCTCGAAGGAGAAGGTGCATTGATATCAGCTGCTTTAAAGCCACCTCCACCTCCAACCCCTCCTCCGCCGCCGAAGGACTTACCTCTTCTAGCGAGTTCCGAGAATCTGAAAGGCATAAATATATTGAGTTTGATGTTTTTTGCTTTGGAGGCCCTTGAGTGTGCTTGAGATAATTTCGAAGCGTGGGAGTGGTGGTGGTGGTGGTGGTGGTGGGTGATATTTTTTATAAGAATAGGTTGGAGACTCCGGGCATCGGAACTCTTTTCGATGGGAAGGAAGGAAGAGCGCTTGAAGAAACGAGCGAAGCGAAGGCAGATGGATAGAGTCCCTCCTGAGAAGACAATGCCCTCTTTGTGCGTCATTATGGCAGAGGCAGTAGAGACGGAGTATTTCTTTCACTCTCTGAACAAAGAATGTCGTTTCGTTACTTTGTTTGATACAATGGCCACCACATGCATCGAGTATCTTGTTGCTTTGACAAAGAACATGGCAGTTTTCCCAGAAGCCTCCAAGGGCCAAGGCTTACTGAATGGTGGGTGGAATAGTCTGTCTGCCTTCTTTGTGATGTCGCTGGATAACCGCAACTATTTGCGCGGTACATAACTATATTTCAGGTCAGCAAACGGTGGAAGGGTGCTGTCGGATGTCCTCGATGTCCCTTTCCCCGGCTCGGCGTAATCATTTTGCGGGGGAAAACGGGGCTGAGCGACGAGCGGTTCAGGGTAAATGAGACCCACTAAAATGGCTATCATGATTGGTCAGCCAAGACGCAGGCCAACCCTTTTCGCAACCCCGACCGAGGCATCTTCTACTCTTTCACCGAGTACGAGTCAACAGAGGTTTCACTCTTCAGCGGTACACAGTTTTGTACCTCTGGGCATTGACTGGGATCCCGGACTAGGCACTGACGGCATCTGATCATGGAACTGAACCCCGCTCGACATCCCGTCATAAATATGCTCATCTCCGTAGGATTGCAGTTCTCCTTAATTACTATCCTCCTTTCTTGATATATTTCGCCCTGTGCTTTACTTTTTTTTCAGAGACCATGGCGAGGCCAGGCCCACTTGAACGCGCCAATCGCGTTGCCGTAGGTGCTCTCACCCTCCCCATCAGCCTCGTTCACCGGGCCGCGGCTGAACCACTTCTTACTGGAACTGTGCTGGCTGCTCTTACAAGAGCACCTGTTCAATACCGAACACGTCTCTTGAAGCTCCTGGGCGATGCTGGTCTGTCCGCTGAGCGTATCGCACTCCTCATCAAATCATTGAAGTACCTGCTTGCCATTGGCCTCGTCCGAAAGCTCAACCAGACACTCAACAGACTTGCTCTCAATCACTGGCATGTCTTTAGGAAGCCCGGTGCACCATTCCGCTGGGACAGGCAGACAGAGCTCGTGGTAGTGACCGGAGGATGTTCTGGCTTCGGGTACGAGATGGTAAAAGGGTTTTCGAAACATGCGAGAGTTGTCATCCTCGACATCTCTCCAGTTCCCGAGGAGTTGAGGAAGCGTAAAGTCCTTCATCATCCCCATCATAGATAGCCCGCTCACACGAATGCTCTAGTTCCCGGCGTCGACTACTACCAAGTCGACTTGACAGATTTCTCTGCGATTGAGTCAATCGCGGAGACGATCCGTAGAGAACATGGTGATCCGACCGTCCTTATAAACAACGCTGGCGTCGGTGAGCCTTTCCGGTCGTATTTTGCTTTCGAGGAACACGATTAGCTGACAAGAGAGCCTCGCAGCGAACGGCACCAAAATCATAAATAGCGATGCGAAGTTGACCGACAGGATCTTCAAAGTCAATATCGGGTGTCACTTCATTTTGATCAAGGAGTTCTTACCTGGGATGCTGAGAGCAAAGAAAGGTCATGTCGTGACCATTGCATCAATGGCCAGCTTCTATGCAACACCAGGCCTCGTCGATTATTGCTGCACAAAGGTTGGGGCACTCTTTCTCCATGAAGGTGAGCTTTCCGAACACTCCAAGACTTACTGGTCAGCGAGATTAACCATGGCACAGGCCTGCGATCGGAGCTCCGAGGATACTACGAGAACGGCAGGTGCATCCAAACCACCTCCGTTCATCCATCCTGGCATGCAACTGGCATCGTGAAACCCGTTGCGGCCAAATTGGAGCAGCTCGGAATCAAGTGTGATCCGGCGTCGAACGTGAGCGACGCGGTCGTGGAACAGGTTTTGGCCGGAAGAAGCGGCCAGATCTTCGTGCCGAGAACAGAGGAAGGCAGGGCAGGCCTGAGGAACTGGCCGTTGTGGTTGCAAGATGCGGTTCTCCATCTTCAGAGAAGAGTGCAAAACTTTGACGTGTCATGGGACTGAAGGGGAAGAAAAGAGCTGGCAGAATTCGTGTTTTGAGTCGTGATATGTCCTATTTTGAGGGGGGATGTTTGGGATTTATTAATCTCTCTGATACGGTACTTGGTATCTTCTCTCAATTTATTGCTTTCGGCCCTGGTGGCCGTGGGAAGATAAACATCTACAGTATTACTCCGTCCATTCTTTCCTATTTAGGAGGGATAACAAACTGCCTGCTCAACCCTGCGAAATGAGTGTAATTCCACCCCAGGTTTGGTGGCTAAGCCGTGCCAGGTGTAGCTTTTCTGCAACAAGCCTAATGCAAGCACCGGCAAACTCCACCATTAGTGTTGCTTTTTTTCAACATCCCTCCATCACACCATCACTGCCTCCACCCCCATCGAATCATCTGTTTCTCTCCTGTCAGCTGCTCCATTCGACGCGGATAAGAATTCGAAAGATGAGTGGCTTTTTGCAGAATCCCATGTCTCCGGAAGCCAGGCAAATCCGCTGGAGCCAGCCAATGACCTTTCCTTGCTTCCGCGGTGTGTGATTAGCCCCCCATAAGGTGGCTCTTTGGTCTCTTTCCTGTGAGGCGCTAACTCTAAGTACGTGTTGACATGGCTGGCTGGCTGTGTTTTCCAACCTCTCCTCCTTTTGACCAGAACCCCAGACAGGGGTCGCTCTCGAGCTCGATTCTCCTGTCTGTTTGGTGGGCCGGCCTGACTGCGACAATGCACCGACCGCTACCTGATTTGGACGTTGCATGGCGCGTCATCCCTGATGTTGTGCAACTGGGTACATGAGTCTACACTCGTTCCAGATAAGTTCAAGATGGACGTGGCAGCTTTTAGTTCGAAAACGACGGTAGGCAGCCCTCCACGACAGTCTGGTCTTCAGAAACAACGACGATCCGTTCATTGCTATTCGTCTTGGGACCTCCGTGAACTTTTCGGTTGAGCTCTCCGTGGGGCTTCCTGGGCAAACAGAAGGTCCTGTGCAATGTCTCGCAGAGGTAGGGCGGTCTTGAAGGATCAACCAAAGTGGTCATAAACACTTTCTCTCCATCCGCCACTATTACCTAGACGCCGAGCGAACGAACTGCTCTGGTACAAGGACCAAGGTGTGGAAGCTCGGAGGGAACTAGTACCACTCCTAGGTTTCGCTCCAATTTTAGTCTCGTGTTGCTTGATCTTTCTGCAGACCCATCTTGCCATCTCCTCGAGCTATCGGATGGCTTTGGTGGCGTCTGGCTCCTGCGCGGGAATGCACCACTTCTTTTGAATCTCGACTCTAGGGGGATTTGATATCACAGGAAGTTCTAATCTTTGATCCTGGTGAGAACAAAACGAGGGGCATCCAGAGAGACTTCAATGATCCACTTTGCCCGGCCCGTACTGGGACACTCTGAAGCACAGCTTCACCGACGACTGTTGTTCGCAACGAGTTGATATCGAAACGGTCATGCAGGTACCATAAGACACCTCACGGTGCTCGACAGAAAGATTGCACAACCTGTACCGCATCATCGAAAGAACGGTTTCCAATGGCCCCCTCAAAGCCGTTAGGAGTTATATCTCCCGAGGATCAATCCGGCCTGATCCTCATTTTGACCGCATTGTCACTTTGCTTCGTTCTTGTTGCCTTTGCAATCCGCCTTTATATTCGAGTTCCCCAAAGATTGTGGAAGTGGGACGACCACGTTTTGACGGCTGCCACAGTAAGTTTTGACACCTGCACACGAAAGTGGTACAAAAGGGTCCTAACGCCCTCCTGGGTCTTCTCCATTGTTCAGACATCGCTCGTCTTCTACGCCGTTCATCTGGGCCTGGGACAGCGGAAGGTATTCGAGGGCGATTCTCCCAACAGCGACTTGGTCAAGAAGGTACGAAAGCACAGTCAACGTGAGAAAGATGATGTGCTGAAATGGAAGCCAGTACTATTTTACCAATGACTTCTTCTACCTCATCGTTCTGCTATTCTCCAAGCTGGCTGTATGCTTTCTTTTCCTACGGTTGACGCGCCGGCGAGGACATATCATTGCAATCTACACGACCATCGGGCTCTGCGGTGCCTGGTTTCTGCTATCCATCCTCTTGATCAGTATTGGCTCTTCATGGGACCGGGCCTTTTCCACACCGGTAATGTTTCGACCCATTCACGCAAGTACAGGAACGGTCAAGTTGACTTTGACGGATACAGTTTGGCAGGTGGCTCGCTGTCGGCGTCACGGATTCGATTACGGAGCTGATCTTTGTCCTGTTTGCGGCTTTCCTGGTTAGCGACCTGCGTATGAGCAAGGTTCAGAAAGCCACTGTGGTGTTTGCATTTGCTCTTCGGCTTCTGTGAGTGGTGATCTGGTTCCGAACCAACATCGATTGACACTTCTTCTGACATACAATGTTTCATGCTAGGGCGGTCCCTGCCTGCGGAATCCGTCTCTTCTACCTCGACCCTTCCACTCTAATCAGTAACCGCAACCTGGCCCTCTCCTTGGCCATAGTCTGCACGCAGATCCAACTTGGCTACGGGGTGATGGCAGCCTCAATCACCGTCTTGAAGCCTTTCATGGCCGTCTACGAGAAGCCCATGGGCTACACGGGCTATTCCAACCATCCGGCCAAGGGCTACGCGACCAACAACAGCGGGCACCTGTCTTTCAAGATGCAGCCCGTTTCAGGGTCCGAAGAGGTCATGCCGGGTGGATTAGCCTCGCGTGCTGTGAATTTCGACCCCAACCAACCCACGTTCTCGTCGCGCATCCCAACGGCGCAGAAGGAGGAGAGAGGCAGTAACGGACACGAGAAGAGTGACAGCATACACAGCCATGACAGTCGGCGTTTGATTATTGAGCGCAAGACGGATTGGTCTATCAGGTACGAAGAGGCGGAGAGCCACAAGAGCAATTTCAGCGAGGGTGCTGCCTCTGTCTCTGATCGTTGAGGCATGTCGGGTGCATATACAAGACAGACAAACGGACCTCTGGGGCAGGAACGACAGAGTTGGACTTCTCACGACTTGTAACCATATCTACAGCACGGATCTTAGGCAGCTGGACGGGACGGGACAGGACGGAAATGGAATGGAACGGAACAGCAATCAGGGATTTCACAGCCCTCGGGAAATCGGTGTCACAAAATACACAGACCCCCCCTGTGTGCATTTTTCTACCGTATACCCGGGGTAGGACTGAGGATTTAGGCGCCTAATCATTCACCTGAGGAGGTAACGAGTATATACTGTATTGCAGGACATATACAAATGACGATTGCTATGTGGGAATGGATACGACGGATCTGCCAGGCACCTGGTACACGGGACTGGATGACAGGGGGCGACAGGATGGATGTAACTCTTCGCAGTCACAACGTACATGACTTAACGCAATCAATGTCCAGAGTATGCCCAGACTTGTCGACGAAGTTGCTTTTTGTCGTCTCCTGTCTCTGTATTGTATGTATGTACATATCTTTTCTTTTTCTGGAAGGGGTTGGTGAAAGAGGGGCCGTCTTGTCATCTTAGACGATCTATTCTACCTATTGCCAAACATGTTTCTAATGCGTATTGCTTCAGTGTGTACATACCTACTTGAGGGACGCGTTGCATGTGGACCGTACAACGCTTCAAGCCTTCTTGTCTGTCTGTCTGTCAGTTTGCCTGCCTTCCTTTCTTGCTCTCCCCCTGTCATCACATTGGCAACGGCGGACAGGAAGAGAATGGTGGAGCACATCACCTACGAGTCCTCGTAAGGTGGAGTGGAGTATCTATTCCCTAGTGCTCGCCATGTATGCCGGAGAGACTAGGTGAGGTGGACACCGGAATCAAGCTTCGCAAGTAAATCCTCTTTTGCTTCCTTCTGTTCCTTTCCTCAACTTCACCTGACATCCGCCCCGTTCATCCTTGCCGTCTTTCTATCCACACCACCAACACGGGGGGGGGGGGTGTTTCTCAACGAGGAGCCCTCGCGCAAAAAGTGAGCACGCACCTACAGTAGTCGTGTACTTATCAGGTAGTTAGGACTCCGTACTCGGTACCCTGCACTGTGAGCTAACTGTCTGCTCACGACTAGGTACGAACGATAGGTAGGTAGAAGGACAGGGCAGGATTCCTCTGGCAAACTCAACCTCAACAGATGTTGTCTCCACCATGGTCGATGGCTACTCCATACCTACAATATGTACGTAGGCACCAAACTGGGGCCACAGTAAGCGAGCCATCGAAGAAGGAACGAAGGAAGGAATACAAGTCGTTATTGCCATTGGTCTAGATACTCTGTAAAGGTATCACTGGAGCTAGGAAGCTCGGCAGAGAGAGAAAGAAATGGGTTTTTTTGTTCCTCTCAATGCATCTCATATCTTGATCGCGGGCTTCTCGTGCTGCTAATACGAAACGTTGTGTACGAGTACACACGCAGAGAGCAGGAGGGATCTAGACTCCGCTGGCCCTTTTTCCCGCCAGTTGATAAATTCAAAATTGTGGGCCTCTTTCGCTTAGGGCAGCCCGTCTGTGACTTCTTGTCCTTCCGCATCGTGCTCGAGGGTCAGCGGAAGGGCAATTCAATTAGTGCTGCGTGTTCTTGTTGCTGTACCTGCAGAGCTTACTACATGGGCACTCGCCTGCACACATCTATGTCGACCGTGGACACTGGAAAACCCACCACCAATCGAGAAAAAGGAGTCTCCTCGAAGACTACTCAACACTGTTCGGGTAATGGCACCGTGGATTAAAGAGAGGGGACAGTTTCGTTTGTTGCCCTTCTCTAAGCGAAACATGGCTGAACTCTCATCTTGCACCTCCTTGTTTCTTGAATTGCGTGTTTCGTTTTGTTCTCCTGCTCCCCTTCAAAATCGAATCACCCTCGCCGGCTGTTTCAGCTGGTGTTGTGGCCGCGACGGGCACTCAGTTCAACGGGGGTTCATGCAAGGTCGAGGCGTTCACGGTGGCTTGGGCTGAGGCGAAAAGTTAAAGAGAGCTACTCCGTATTTACTAGGTTGCAAGGAAAGCCCAGCCTAGCTGAGAAGAGGGAAGACAAAGCGAAAGAAAAGCTTCGGAGAAACAGGGTATGGACCTGCCATTTTGGTGTCTCCCGTTGTCCGTGCGCAAAGGCTAGAAGACAAATGTTTTGACTTCTGAGGGCTTTGAGGATACCACGTAGGAGGTAGTGTATAGCCTGTAGTTGTAAGTTTAGGTTTTGGCAATGGTAGTAGGATTATGTACTGGTGGCCTCTCAGACGTAGGGCAGAAGCCCTTCCATGATGTCGGTGCTCTCAGTGGCCTCTTCTGTAAAGGCGCCGTTCCGTTTTGATACAATATAACTATACCCCTTTTGCGTGGCATTCCCTCCATTCGAAAAGTATCGAGAACTGAGAAGAAGTGATTCAAATACCTAATCTGAGGTCCCGATTGTGTAGATAAGCCTAGTCAGTTCCTGCCCTCCACGGTCACGACGGGCCCAGTGTAGACCTTCCTCCCTTGAACCACGTAGAACACTCCAGAGATGATCATGACACCAAAGAACAGCACGACCGACCAGTTGAAGGACTCGGCGTCCACGGGGGTGCCATTGGGCCAGAAACTCCAGAAGAATGCAAAGAGAGAGTAGAAGATGCTGAAGATGTTGATCGGCACTCCCCACTTGCCTAGACTCCAGCGTGCCTTGGGCAGCAATTCAGGACGGTACACGCGACGGTACAGCACGCACGTGATAGAGATGGTGTAAGAGAACATGAGCGCGCAGACCTGTACAGAGATGATAGCGTTGAAAGCAGCCGAGGAACCGATGTTAATGATGGCAAGGAGACAGCTGATGATGCAGGTCAACGTTACGGCGTTGGCGGGGATGTGTAACTTTGGGTGAACAGCGCCGATCCAGCGGGAGAACGGGAGACCCTTGTCGCGGGCGAAGGCGAAGGTTTGCCGCGAGGTGGATGCATTGAAAGAGATGTTGGAAGCGATGACCAAGATGAGGATCAGAATGGTCAGGGCGTTGACGCCACCAGTGGACAACGATTGGCGGAAGATCCAGATGAAGGGATATTCAGTCGGATCGTTGAGAGCGGCGTCAACGTCGGTCAAGGCGAAGTTGTAAGTGATGATGAGCACCAGGCCGAGGATCCCGTTCGACACGTAAGCCCAGAACATGGCATTGGGAACATTGCGACCAGCATCCTTTACTTCTTCAGCCATGTGCGCTGTGCAGTCAGAGCAGAGTGATCCGTAGATGGCCGAAATCTGCCCGACCATTAGGGCGAGGCCCATGCTAGACCAACCTCCTTCGTTGGTAAATTGAGTAAAGGCGACCTTGGCGGAATTTCGAGGTGCCATTACCCAAAGGACAATGATAACCGCTGCAGATATACGTTAGCGCTTGAACAGTCTCGGAACTGTATAGCAGATGATTTTCCCATGCAAGAGATGAAACTCACCGAAGAATCCAAATACATGCACAATAAGGAGTACATTTTGGATAAGAGGTAGATCGCGTGCCCCCCAAGTATTGGCCACAAAGAGGACGAGAACCATGGCGAACACCAACAACGTCCCTTGCCACGCCGTTGGTTCGTAGTCTGGATTGTTGATCTGGATCAGAGCCTGGATGATGGTGCCAGTCAAGAAAGAGCCTGACGCCGTTCCAGCTTGCCAACTTAACGAACTCATCCAACCAGTTAAATAGCTCAGAGTCTTCTGATACTTTGGCGGAGCGAATTCAGATACCCAATGGTATTGACCGCCGCTCGTCGGGGCCCTAGATGTGTTAGAGAGTGACTGCGCCGGCTGATGTGGTCGGGTCATACATAGACGCCATCTCAGCAAGAGAAGTCATCACGATGCCAAAACCAAAAAAGGTCCAGACATAAGTCCAGAAAAATCCAGCAATGCCTCCATCGACCAAAACTTGGGTGTTCGCGCTAAACGACTTTTAGAAACTTGATCAAAAGCATAGATCTGCCGTGGCTGGCTGATTGACTACTTACATCAACAGGAATTCCCAGGTCGCTTGCAAGAGGGCAGTAAATGCCAAAGCAGAAAGAGGTCGAAAGTTGCGTATCAGTTCTTGACGTTTGCCCAAGCGTTGCATTTCCCTCTGATCCTTGGTTGTGTACCCTTTGTCGAGAATGCCAACATCGTTGTAGCAGCCCTCATCTTCGACACCGTCGAAAGAAGCCAGCTCTCTAGCTGTCAGAGACGAGTCCGGCACCTTGTCTAGAGTCATGTTGAAAACGTATGTCTATTCAAAGGAATAGGTACAACAACCACAGGGAGAGTAAAGTGGACGAAAGGGAAGAAAACACACTTGAAGATGATTCGGCTTCGATCAGGAATGAAGATGGGTTTGCATCTACAAGCAACATGTGGGAACCACTCAGACATACATTCACCCTAGGAGATCGGACTGTTCCCAACCTTCATACTAGTAGCGTGGCAAGCAAAAGGTGGGCATATTATCTGCAGGAGCCCACGTTGGGGGCATCTGAGGATTGAGGCGAATTAGCGAACTAGGGTTGGCAAGAAGTGACAGGGATCAGCTCTGCATGAGTACTCGGTACCTCTGGCGTTCTCTGGCGTTCTCCGGCACTCACCAAGCCCGCCTCGGAATGGGTAAAGGAGTCAGGTCTCCCTTAGGATGCATGGTTCTCCCAGTCGACCATCGGATGTGGGCAGCGGAACCTACGGTCGCACCTTGATAGCGATGTATCCTGCCTGACGAGTGGTCCGCAATTCTGCTGATTCGCCTTGGTGGAGATTGAAGCGTTTGCCCCGCTCTGCAGCAAAGCAATGGCATTTTGTCGTGTCGATTTTGAAGTGGAGGTGAGGGTGTGCGAGAAGCATGATGCACTTGAAACCTCCTTTGCTGATCCCATTGATGGCTCAGGAAGCTGGTTGTGCCTGACTGCATACACAAATCTAATGCCCCGTAATCGTCATGGCTAGTCAAGTTGACT